TCTTACAGCCACCCAATAATGAGAACTGCCACCACTACCATTATTATTCCCATCTATGGAAACAAAAGCTCAAAGAGATTGCAGTACTCACACATAGTCACATAACCATGTATTTCGACACCAGGATTTGAACCCAGGCTTCAAGCCCCCATTATCTTCACTCTTAACCTCTTGCTCTGATGTCTTTATACAGATCTTGTCTACAAGACTAAGAGGTTTTATAAAAGCCCCAAGCAGCTACAGATTTCTAGGTTACAGAGTAATAAGGTTTATAATCTATTGTTCTCTCACACACAAACTCAGTTTATTGTATACAAACCTTCTCAGATTTAGTCCAAATACATGGGACAGCATGCATACCAGATATATTTTAACAGGCATGTAGACAGTTGCAGTCACAATGGAATGTACAAGTTTCCTAGGCTAAGCCTATAGACCTGAGTTGGGCCTTATTGGTGTGAAGAAGCCCAGATGTTGCTTGAAGAACAACGTAACTGGCACCCCCATCTCAAGGGGTTGAAGGGAAAAGGACACAGAGCCCTCCTAAGTGACACCTTTACTCGCAGGGAAGCTGTGAGCATGCCTAACTCTTTAAAAAGTGACTGAGCAGGACCTCCTTGGTGGCTCAGCACTAAGAAGCTAAAGCCACTTCAGCATGAGTTCGATCCCCACCCAGGAGGTGACCCGCAGACCTCTCCTGACCCTCCCACTGCTCCCCTCAGCAGCGTATTTTGTCAGTCAGCCTGTTCTGCTCCCCACTCTGCCTCTGGTGAATCCTCTCACCACCCCTGCACCTCTGCCTGTACCCCAGTTCTGTATGTATAAATAAGTCTTTCATAAAAAAAAAAAAAAGTGACTGAGCAGAGCAGACTCTTTAAAAAGTGACTGATATCTTATAAAAAGTGACTGCTACCGCATGATAATTTGAGCCTGAAAACAAGAAGTGGATAATCAAACCCCCTAGTCTGAAGGCACAGCCCAGGGAGCCCTCAACTGAGCTCTTCACAGACCACGTGTGAGGCTTCCCCTCTACTGCCCGCAGATGCCTATGCAGACTACAGGTGATGCTTACAACATGATTTTTTTTTAAAGATTTATTTATTTATTTGTGCATACAGAACTGGGGTACAGGCCAGAGGCTCAGGGGCGGTGAGAGGCTTCACCAGAGACAGA